CGGGACCGTACTGGAAGAATATCGGCCCTCGGTCTTTTTTGTACGGACCTCGCTGCGCTCGGTCCGTACTGTCAAGACCTCGGGCCGATATTCTCCCAGTACGGCCCCCGCGCTTGGTTAATAACATATATATAACCGGAAGAGAAAATGCCCAATAACTACTCGACTGATGCCACTCAACCAACTCCGTCACTTTATCCTATTTTCCTAACCACTTTAAAGATCTTGTCTAAATTAAGGGATCACTTAGCTCCTGTTCATGCACAACGAGATTTCTTTAAGGAAGGTGTTTTCTGGTGATTTGGTTTAATAGGTGGGCATGCTGAAGTCACTTTCAAAGATGTTCGAGTACCAAAAGAGAATATCTTATTGGGACCTGGGAGAGGATTTGAAATTGCCCAGGTTAGTAACAAAATTAAAATCAGAAATTTCCGTCTCTGTCTGCCCTTTGTCTCAACTGAGCGGCTTTATGAAGCCGTCAACCCTCAAGTTTTCTTTCTTCCTTCACCTTCTTGGTTTGATTTCTCTTTGTTTCTCTATCACCATCTCTTTCGTTATTAATCTTTCCTTCGCTTGCTTGATTGAGTTTTCTTAAGTCGAATCCAAGTGAAATATAAATGAACTCTTTGAAATCGTGATTGATACTCCAGGGTCGTTTGGGCCCAGGTCGAATTCACCACTGTATGCGTCTGATAGGACAGGCCGAGAGGTCGCTGGAGCTGATGATCGAGAGGGTAAGTAATCAATGTTGTCGGTAACAAAATTTTTTTTTCCATACTCTACCATAAAATTGTTTCATGCATTGCGTTTTTAATTACGTATACATGTAGGTCAAAAGAAGAGTGGCATTTGGAAAACCTCTTGTGGAGCAAGGAACTATTTTACAAGACATTGCTGAGTCTAGAATAGAGATTGAACAAGCCAGGTTGGTCAAATAAGTCAAAACGTCCTGAAATGAAGAACAGTGACTTTTCAAGACGTTTGAGTGCATTATACATAAACTGTAATGTTGTTTAGGCCACGTAGTCTGGCTTTGAGATGAAAAAAAGCAGTTGGAAAGATTTGATATAATTTTGGATTTTAGTTTTCGGTTCTGTCGATAGTTTTTGTCCTTTTTTGCCTCGAAATTGTACATGGAATTCAGTAAATGGTTTAACTTGAAACCTCGCATCACTAACCCTGCGTTGTGGCGTCTCTATTTCTCTATCATTTTAGTGATTGAAAGAGATAAATTTGCAATCCGTTTGAAATGTCAGCACAAAGTTGGAGGATATCTTTTTTATTTTAATGCCGAGCTCTTTCATTTTACTAGCATCTTATAAATATCTAAATTTAAAGAAAGGAGCTTTGGAATTCAAGTTCTCGTGAACGCTAGCTTTGTGGTAAATATTTAAAATGTACAGCTACTTCACTTTTCAGCTTCAATTGGTTTATCTTGTTTTTGCAGACTTCTGACCCTGAAAGCTGCTCATCTAATGGACACAGTAGGAAATAAGGTAGATCGAATCTCCTCGCCCCAGCAACCCATAATTTGCCTCCAATCTGATCATTTTTTATTGCTTTCGTAGGCTGCTGCACCGGAGATCGCTATGATAAAGATTGTCGCTCCAAGGATGGCTCAAAATGTCGTTGACAGAGCAATGCAGGTTTGTAAAATGAGCTTGTATCGTAAAAGCGCAGTAACCAAGCATTACGCTACATAAGAAGCTCTGTGATTCAAAATCATCCGCTGACTGAGACTAGTAGTGTAGCAGTCGCGATCCTCAATTGATAGCTGAACTCTTCAATTGATGGCTGAACTCTACAATTGATAGTGGCTGTAAATTGTGAGAAAAACGACCGAACGTTCATTTATTATCATAATCACCGTTGACAATCACATTTTTACAAATATCTCTAGGCATTTGGCGGTGCAGGCCTTTCTTCCGATCAGCCGCTGGCTCAGTTTTGGTCGTGGGCTCGCGTTCTTCGACTCGCGGACGGCCCTGATGAGGTGCATCTTGGGGCGTTGGCCAAGAGAGAAGTAAAGAAAACCATGGGCAAAGAACAATAAGTACAGTAGTTGTCACATGGGTAGGGGTTAGGAGCAATAGTTATGCATATGCTCTAGTGCTATCATGATACTTTAGTCTCAAAATTTGAGTTTGTTGTTGCTTGATTTAGGGATCACTTTTACATTACACCAAATTTTTTTTTGTAAAAGGCAAAATCAGCGACCGTGACTTTTTACACAATGACCAGGGCTTTAAAACCTAGACCTTGTAGACCCTTTTCTTTTGAATCATTCGCTCGGAAAAGTGAACTATTTACCTTAATTTACCGTTCCGCTGGAAAGACGACACTTCCGGTTCAAATTCTCCACCCCTGGGCGCGGTCGACGGTCAAATGCCTGTGGGTTGCTCGGGGGTGGATGTTGAAGTTTCGAATTTATCGGGACACAACCGTGTAATGTAGATGGAAATTTATTTCCGTAAAGTAAGCTTCGTGAGAAGACATGTTTTTCTTAGTGGGAAATATTTTCTTCGGAAGAGGCTAACAATTGTTTAGGCAGAAGTAAAATAGATAAAATCTTTGTCTGTACTCTATCGTTACAGCGATAGAAAGCTTAGGAGATGGCAAATAGTGGAATTAACTATTTTCGCAGATAAACGATTATCGCTCTGTAACTCAATATTTTAGGGTGAAAATAAAGTGTTAGCTAGGACGATTTTGGCAGTGAATTAATTTTCTTTGTTTACTTCGGGTTGAATAGAAGCAAAGTACAAGTGAAGCGTCTTTCCTATAAACACGGCTTACTCTTGACAGCTAAGGATTATTTAAATCCATTCCTGTTTTTCTGGTTAAACGGAGACTCCCTCACTCGGCAAGCTTTCTTCTGAAAACGTTTATTAACCCTTTCAATCCCATGAGTGACCAAGACAGAATTTTTCCTTACAATATCAATACAATATCAAGCAGACAAGTGATGAGAATAAAGAAAATTATCAATAAGAGGATTACTAGTTGATCTCATACTAAATTCTCCGAAGTAGCATCACAAGAATTGTATTGCAGACAGTAGGGAGACTTTCACATGAGATCTTGGAAGTGAAAGGATTGATGGCAACCCGAGAAGCACGTCATGAATCTTCCCATTAAATTACATGCATACACTTTGAAACCAACCTCGTTCCCAGTGCGCTGGGAACGAGGTTGCTTTGAAACAGATTTATCATACGTTCAACATATTTGCGGCAACGTGACAACTAGCTTTTTTCTTTGCTGAGTCAACTTTGTCTCAGCAGTTGGAGTTTTGATGTTTGTTTCCCGCACAGCTTGAATGGCGGCCAGAACAGAATCTTCGTGGTCCTTTAAAGTCATTTGAACTCCCGCTACTGGCGATGGTTGCCTTAGCAACACGGCAGGCTGCTGGGAGAGCGCTTGAAAGAAAGCTGAATTATTCATATAGTATTTATCACGGTGTGGAACCCAACTGTTTCTGAATCTCGAATAGATCGGTGACGATTTAATACCCTTAAGGTTAAACACAGAAAAGACGCTGTCGTCTTTTAGGTTTCCAGATGGTGTATCGGTTTTATTTACCCTTGGCAAGTGAAATATCGGTTGTGTGTCTTCATCGCTGGTTTTTAAAGAGCTTATTTTGAATAGTATATTCTCAACGCGTGAGTCATTTTGAAAACATGGTGGATAAATATCCTTGTTGTTGGGTGTACAGTGGAGCTGTATCTCTTGACTTTTCAATCCATCTTTTCCTCTTAAATTCACTCTTAGGCTTCTACGTACAGTGGCCTGTAGCAAAGGCCTAACAGAGCGCTTGTTTTTGAAACGATGGTCGGTTTTTTTTACTCTATCATCGTGGTTTACCTGAATGGACGAAGAAGTATCTCGTGAAGTCTTGGAGGCTTCTGAACGGTGCGAACTGTTCTTTGACTTCCTAACTTCGTGAAAAGGGCCGTCGAAATATCGCACTTGGAAGAGATTTTGAATATCCTTTGAATCTTCTTGGCTAAGTGTCCTGGGTTTTGTGAGAGTGGGTAGTTTTGGGCTGGACTTGTGCTTCACTGTCGCTTCCTCCTTCTGTTTTTCTTTCTTTCCAGACGCTCGTTGATTAAATGAATTGAAATTTACTTCGGCCGTGTTTATTTCTTTGTCTCTCCTTGATTTGAACGGGTTTGTCCCTTTAACAGTCAAGCTTAGATTTCTGCGGATTCTTCGCGGCATCATCAGCTTGTTAAGTCCCAGGCGGAATTTTTAGACGGGTTTGTAAAATTTTGTCCCAATTTAACATAGGAGCGCAATTTATTTTCAAGCGCATTATCCTGTCAAATTGACTGTCAGCTATTCTATTACTACTCTATGCTAATAATCTTTCGGCTCAAAGAGAATAGTTTCGATGGCATAATCCCTGTGATTTTTAGATCATCCCAGCTCATTTTATTTGTTTAATTTATCTGGCAGTTCGCAAATAATTAGGAACTTGTGATTCGTCCGGTAATTCCATCAGACAGATAATTCAACAGAAATGTCTAAAAATTAGCGTCGGTCTTCTAAGGGAATGTGTCGATCGTCGGGAAAGTTTTGATTGCGTGGTTGTGTTGTTGATTCATTCTGATTTAATAAACGAACAGTAGTAACTGGTTTGCGTGTCCACCGACTCTCTGGTCGCTCAATTAGTACATGGTGTTTGTATCAATTATGAGATTATGAGCTCGAGATTTCTATCGCGTGATAGTTGGTAAATTAAAGGCGAAGTGTAAACCAGCTATGACGTGATAAAAAATCGACAGCAAATGATCTGAGGGACCAGCCACTATTTGACGCCTGGGGTGAGGGCTGGAGGATCTTTGGGGAGGATCACATGGTTTTCAGGGAGAATGGAGTGTAAAGGGGACTATAAAAACTGACCAGCCACAAATAATGCCCTGCTGGCAATTAATTGCCAATGAGGGGGGGAGGGGTGGTCATAAGAATATTTATTACTGAGGCCTATGGGGGGATCGGGTAAAGTCATCATGACACGATTATCAATATCCTCCACCCCCTCCCCCAGGGAATAAATAACGAATAGTCCCTAACTGTTTTAATATAGATCTTCTAGTCGTTATAAACATAAAGACAAGACAGGCTCATGTTTTTATTCTATTTTATCCACAACTGTGCACCGTTGGTTATTTTCATTTTACCCGTAATGCATCACGGAACAAAGATGCGAGTAGGACAGTCTATCACATTGCATCATTTGTGATAGACCGCTGGTAGATTTGAGCCAGAAAAGGTTGTGCGCAGTTTTAAGTTCTGATCAAAATCGACATCACTCAAAATTATTAATGAAAACTGACTGAAATAATTATTTATGGCGACGAAAGTAGATCAAGATAATGGCACCAAAATCACTCTTAACTTTTAAAAATGAGAGGTTTTAATTTAAAAATAGTACTATCCCAGACGGACTAATCTCGTCGGTGACGGGAAAATTATGAAAGGTTGACTTGAGCTTCTTTTTAAAATGAAATAGGTCGAGATCAATTGCAGTTGACTAATTATTTTGTTCTCCACTTCATCTGGTATAAAAAGAATCCTTCATAACTTGTGCGAAGCCAATTGCGAAAAACCTATTTCGACCGACTTATTTTTACCTGAAAAAAGAATGAGTGATTGATCGAGTCTCTTCGTTTTCATTTATGAAAAAAATTTGATCCGTTATATATCTCGAGCCCTCAATTGCCGAAATACAGAGAGACTGGGCTCAGGAACGCGATGTTTGTTTCACCGAACTGTATCACGCTGAGATTACATCTCTAGAGAACAAGTATTTCATGAAGCTTTTCTTTTCAGAGACGTTTTGAGAAGCGCGCCATGAATTGTCAAGACATTTTCAAACCATTTAAAGTGCGAAACGAAGCTGAGATTTACAATTTACACAAATGGATAATCCTTTGTTGATAACTGACTCATAACTGAACAGATTAACAAGGGGATTAAAGGATTTTGACACCTACTATGACATCTTCAGCCGAGCGTAATTTAAGAAGACTGGGAACTAGTTGGGCTAAGCCTTTACCTTGCGATGACGTTGAAAGAACCGGGAACTTTCTCTACCCACTCAGGGAAAGGAAGAATACGAACTGAACTGTAGGCTGCGAGGAGAGAGCAATGGGAATGCTACTTTGCAAGACTGCCGATTAAAATTAAGCAGCCTTTTGAACACTAAAGACGATAAAAGAAATATAGCCTTTTGAACACTAAAGATGATAAAAGAAGTACAGCCTTTTGAACACTAAAGATGATAAAAGAAATACTGTTTAATTGCTTTCCTTTGAAAATTATTCTGGACCTCGCATGCAGGCTAAATGAAAATGCTAGAAGATGCAAAGCTATATTTTAGCAAATTGGGGGTAATCTAATGACAAATTTCTTTACTTGTCGAGTCACCTCTGTGTCAACAGCTGAGGTAAGTGCGTTTGTTTTTTCAACAGCTACAATCGCTTCTGCTAACGCATCCTCGTGTTCCTTTAAATTTATTTTCACCCCAGCCACTGCAGATGGTTCCCTGAAAAACACTGGAGGTTGTTGTGTGAAAGCTTGAAAAACAGATTGTTTAATACCATGGTTGTCGTGGTTTAGACTCCAGGCATCGTTGGAGCTTGCGTAAAGGAGCGATGATGATTCGACATCATTTACTCTGAAAACAGAACAAACTTGGCTGTTTATTAGACCTCGAGGGCTGATATCATATTTTTCTGCCTTCGGTAGGTGAAACACCGGTCGGTCATCGCGCTTTCCAGGATTTAATGAAGCTGTGTCAGACTTGTTTCTCCGTGTTAACATCGATTTCATTAAGAAGTTTTGAACATGATCAGAGTGTTTCGAAGAAGTGTGGCTTTGATTAAGTAACTTGTTTCGTTCCTCTGGAGGCTCACAATGTTTTCGGATTTGTTTTCGCTGTTTGTTTAACCCAACTTTCTCTCTTAAATTCACTCTTTGCCCCTCAAGAATTGAACAAGAAAGTGGCAGTTTGCTATTCAAAGAGTTTTCACTTAAACCCTCCTTTGAAACAATAGCTCTACTTTCTGGTATACAAAGAGAAACTTCGTGGCTTCGTAAACACGATGATGACAATTTTTCCCTGTGTTTTCCACACCGGTCCAATTTCAGTTCGCGAATTGTTAAATCAGGACATTGCTTTCTTCGTAATAGAACTTCAACTCTATTCTTGAGATTATTGTTGCATCTTGTGGCTTTTGTTAGAATTGGTAATTTGAGGCAGTATTTTGCTCTGATGTCTGTTAATACATCACGGCGTCCATCATGTCTTGACAATGTTTTCTCTTCTTCGTTTGAAACCGGTTCTCCTTTCAAACTTTTGTCTTCGTATCTCGCTGCTTTGCTGTGTCCAGAAGGACGTGCTTCTATAGCAGATGAACTCAAGTTGACATAGCTCGCGGTTATTTGAGGCATGATATCGATTGTGTTCGTTCTGGTCGGTTAGAACTCGATATAACTTTTCTTTGGAAAAATTCGACACAAATTGACCATATTAGCTTGATAAAAGCCACGTCGAAACTGCTTCGTAATAGCAACGCGTCTTGTCATGAAAGTTCGATCTCTTATCAGCATAGTTTCCATGCCATTTGTAAGTCTTTTAATCCGTAAATGAACTGCGAACACGCTCTTTGGCATCTCAAGGGCTCATTAATGTTTGAAAGAATCTTTTGTTTGGTCTTCGTGTTCATAAAGAGTGATAATTTGTATAGAATATGTTAATAATGAATTGGGCATTGTTCGATGCTATTGTTTTGTCTCTGCCGCTGCTTCTTGAGAGGGTGTTATAACAAAAGGATTCATAAGCATAAATACTTTAAGCGAGAAATGTTTTGAATTATCTCTCAGGAGACCTTTTAAAGGTTAGTTCAAGTCTGTCCGTGTGGAAGTTGTGACAGTTCAATGTGTGTTGACACAGAAAATGTTTTCTTTACTAAAACACGGTCTATTTTGCTTTGATACTCAGACTTTGTGTTTGCTTTTTTAAATGTAGTAAGAGATCGTTTGACGTCATGATGTAATGAAATCTAAAATCCAAACTGATTTCACAAGTGGTTTTCTTTCGCCTCTTCTTTGAGTTCCTTCGCAAGTCTGTGGCAAGTTTGGGATCTATTGCAATATTGCGACGGGACAACAAATAAATCCTTGAATAATTAACGGATCAAAGACAGTACGTCAGAAGTGTACTTTACCTAAATATAACTTTTTAATATTTTCCTCGCTAATTGATATCTTAGCAACTGCGCTCCCACCCCTCCCCTAATCCAAAATTAACCATTATCTGTGACTGGTGCTGGTTAAGGGGAGGAGTAGGTGCGTAGTCACTTAGACATCAATTACCGAGGAATATATTAAAAAATATATTTTCAAGATAAGTACAACACTTTGACGGTCTGTTTAGTTTCATACACTGAAAAATATAGTGTTGGATGCTTATATTTTCTAAACTACAAAAACTTTGAAAGTTAGAAAAGGAAATTAAAAAACTGCAGGGGTTCCAATTCTTTGCTAATAAAAGAAAAACCAACGATATTTGTGTTGCAGTCTTACTGTTACCATAGCAGCAATCCACTACTAAAATTGCGGATAATTGGAACCGAGTTCAATTTTTGGCGCCAAATTATTCCCACGTGACACAAACAAGATGGCGGACGAGATGGACGTGGAAACATCGACAACGGGCTCTAAAAGTTCTAAAGACGAAGCAATGGAAGTAGATTTACCACAAGTAGACAGAGTAACAAGTAAGGGGTCATCTGGTGCAGGTAGTAGCACTGGAAAAAGCTCCAAAGGCTTCGAACTGCCGTGGTAAGTTACCGTGAAAATGTAAAAGGACCTAACAACTAACGTTGTTTCTTAAGACCTCAAAGGTACTCAGATGTCAAATTGTTTCGAGAATAGAAACATAACTACAAATTAAGTTTTGACGTATACAGTCGAATTTGGGTGTCGATCAGACTTGTAATGGAATTTTCCTAGTCATAATGAATTGCAACTGCGTAAATTTTCCTTCATTTTCTTGGGTGTTTATCTTCCAGACGTAGGTGAAGTGTACAGGTTTTGTAGCTGTACGGATTGAAAACCACGATCTCATGACGGCTAATACCAGCCGGCTAAAATGTCAGTTCAAGGGGTAAAAATTGAGCTAGTACACCCATATTACTGACGCTTTGAGAAAGTGTACGACTCTCTCGGACCCAAGACTACATTAACCCTATTAGCTGCGACACATTTGATGTAACTTTAGTTGTGAGAATCTGCTGAAAACTTGGTGTTAAATCGATTAATATTTTGAACTATGAAAAATTTGATTGGTCAAGAGCACACAATCAATATACAATTACATGTGACGTTGACATCTACAGTGAATATTGCATTTATCATGTCAAGTTCAAAGTCTGCCAACGTGTAGTTTTCAAGCCCCTTGTTCGTGTATTGTTCTCAAACTTCGCAAACTCAGAGAGAAGTTTCTTCTATCGCAAGTTGCTCAAAAAATGTAGAATCAAACAATCACTGAATTTGGTTTTCACATAATATCATGAATCAACAAACCTGCCAAGATCAAATAGGAAAAACTAAATAAATGAGATATTTTTAGGGCAAGTTACTGTTGATATATTTTTTTATAATATTCTTCTTTATTAGGGTGGAAAAATACCGACCAACCAAACTGCAGGAAATAGTTGGAAATGAAGAAACTGTTAGTCGCTTAGAGGTAGTTTGCTTACACATCATTTCTCTGAGTAGAGTCTGTTGTTCTTTGAATAAATATTATTTTATTTTTAACAAGAGATGCAACATGTATCTATGGCGAGATAGGGGAAACTAAATGTTGTGTACTACACTGTATCAGTATCATAGTGGTGTACTTGTCTTAGCATTTCAAAGGTGGCATGATCCAGTAAGTTATTAAGAGAGTAAAGAGGCCCCTATGTGGCTTTTTTTTCCACTTTATCTATTTGAAAATTTTTTTTTCTTTCTTAGGTTTTTGCAGAGCAAGGAAATGTTCCGAACATCATCATTGCGGTATGTAACTAGCTTTAAATGATAACTTAGGCTACTGCCATATCTTTTTTTTTTTTTGATCCTATAGATCAATTTTGATAGAGCAAAATGTTAATTGGAAATACCTTTTTCAGTGAAGTAAGATTTTGCACCGTGTTCATCATACTTTGTTTTCTTTTCTCCAGGGTCCCCCTGGTACAGGAAAGACCACAAGTATCTTATGTTTGGCCAGGGCACTTTTGGGCACTTCATTCAAAGATGCTGTGCTTGAACTAAATGCATCTAATGACAGGTATTCAAGAAGATGAAGAAGTTTCTTGTGAATTTTGAAATCACATTCTGTCATTTGATGATTTGTTTTTTAGAACTTGTTAAATTTGTATTCTTCCACTATGAAAGAGGAGGGTAGCTTGCCTTCCACAGGTCACATTAGTTTTGGCCTAAATCATCGTCCAGACTCTTAGCCACCCTGAAAGGGAAGTGCAGACATGGACTTCAAATGTTTGTTATAAAAGGCTTGCTATATGAAGGTTACAAAGGAAATCCTTCACTCCGACAAAGGGCTAAGGCTCGAAATGTCAGCTTTTGTAATCGTTATGGTGGCCAATTTACCATTTCAACTTTGTTGATATATCCAAATTATTTCGTTACTCCCACCGACGCAGCCCCAAACAGTTTATTTCGAAACTATCAGTATTTATACAAAGGAAATATGCTGTTGACAAGTTACTAAATTCTCCTTTTCATCTGCCTTGTGTTTGAATGTGTTTGTATCAAATGGATAATTTGATATTAGTCATCCATGGCCTAATTTCATTCAGCCTTTTAGAAATGCCTTGCAACTTTACTGTGAAAGCTAGGAACTGTCAACAACTGTCAGTGATGGAAGCAGTTGCCGACAAGTTAAAAAAACGATAATTTCTTTTCATTGCAGAGGAATTGATGTGGTGCGTAACAAGATTAAGATGTTTGCTCAGCAGAAAGTTACTTTACCAAAAGGCAGGCACAAAATTATAATTTTGGATGAAGCAGACAGGTACATACATCCATTGCAGGCCACTGGAGTAATTTATTCCCTGTTAAGATCTTCCTTGATAAACAGAATGAAATCTGCACTTGTACACCCTGTAATATCAATTTTTAGGTTAAAGATCAGCTGCAAAGGGACAGAACTTAAGAAAGATAGATTTACAAAATTAAACAGTAGGTAATCCCTAAACTCTCACTGCAGCTATTCTCCTGACCAAAAATCCTCTGGTGTAAGGGATTTTACATTGCAAAATATCACATCCATTAGTGAATAACATACTTTGCTTTGTCTCTGTAGCATGACAGATGGTGCACAACAGGCTCTTAGAAGAACAATGGAAATCTACTCCAAAACTACACGCTTTGCTCTGGCTTGCAACACATCCGAGAAAATTATTGGTGTGTACTGTAAACTTACCATTAAAGATAGATGAAAAAATACACAAAAATGGCCCAGACAACTTATTGGGTTGGGGGCGGGTGGGGGTACTTTGTGGATTTTGAGTTTTCAGCCCTTTTGCCTACTTTAATCCCATTGATTTTAGATCCAATTCTCATTAAAATTTTTGTTAGTGCACCTGGCTATGCAGTTTATCAGCTTCTTGCCAGTATGTGGCAGTGTTTATATAGAGGTTGATGACTTGCAGAAGTCTTACACCTTCACAAATGTTCTGATGCCAATGTACATGTAAGAGCATTGTTGTACATCAAAGATGAATTTAAAAATGTTACTTTGTCAGAGGCGATCCAGTCCAGATGTGCTGTTCTACGATATTCAAGATTGACTGATGCACAAGTCTTACACAGACTTTTAGAAGTTTGTGAAAAAGAACAGGTTTGTTCAGATAAGATGAACAGTTTTCTGACTTTTGAAAATCGTTTCTCGTCATTCTTCAAGTTATTTACACAATTCTGTTTTCAATATTTCCATCTGTGATCAGGTCACCAAAACTGATGATGGATTGGAAGCAATTGTCTTCACAGCTCAAGGGGATATGAGACAGGTAGATATTCTGAAAAATATCTTTTTTATTTCTCGAGTCTTCTTAAATTGCTTTCACCATCTGCTGAAAACCGGAAAACAGGTAACCAAGATTAACAACTGTTAACTTTAAAGGAGTTTGGAATGAATAATGTTTTTTTTTTTCTGTGTTTCAGGCGATAAACAACCTGCAATCTACCTTTTATGGATTTGGATTTGTTAACAGTGAAAATGTGTTTAAGGTAATATTTCTTTCAAAGATAAGATTTAATAATTGTTTATCTCCATTTCATTATCTCTCAATACTACGTTCAAGTTACTTTGTTGGAAAGTAAAATTTTATCAACTCAAGTGGAGCCACGCTTTTAATGAGATTTACCCATAAGTCAATCAGGTGCAGAGGAAACCAATCGCGCTTTTTATCTTCTACACCTATGGATTACTGTACCTTTGAGAATTTTTTAGTTTCGAAAGTAAACTGGGACGGCTTTGGTTTTGCTTTTCCTTACTAAATGATTGGTCAAGAAAACTCTCGTAATCCTCTCAGTCAATGAGGTGCAACGCGAAAATCAATCGTGACTTGATTTTTTTTTTCCCGCTCATTTGTTCCGTGTTTCATGTCTTTAGCTTGTTTTTTTTTTCTTTAAGTTCCTATCGGCTCCTTTTGGTATTTTCCTTCGTTCTGATTGGCTGTTGGGAATATTTTGGGTTTCCGACGTTCAGTTGAAATGCGCTGTAACGTTTCTTTTTTTATTTGATGCTAGCCTCTACATTGCTGTTGTAATCTTTGTTTTCAGTCTGATGAGCGTTGTTTGTTCGCATTCCTTTTTATTATAACGTGGAGACCTAATAGACTGCTATTTGTTTTTCAAATTAGTTGTTAAAACCAAGGCGTTATTTTTTCATGGTCTGTCTCTATCGTCCCAAAAGCTATTGAGATGATTCATACTCCGTCTATTTTACGATTTCATTATCGCCTGAGCGAGAGAGCTGTGACGCGCGCATTACGAGCGAGAGAGCTGTGACACGGGCATTACGAGCAAGAGAGCTGTGACGCGGTCATTACGAGCGAGAGAGCTGTCACGTGGGCATTACGAGCGAGAGAGCTGTGACACGGGCATTACGAGCAAGAGAGCTGTCACGTCGGCATTTCGAGCAAGAGAGCTGTGACACGGGCATTACGAGCAAGAGAGCTGTCACGTGGGCATTACGAGCGAGAGAGCTGTGACACGGGCATTACGAGCGAGAGAGCTGTCACGTGGACATTACGAGCGAGAGAGCTGTCACGCGTGCATTACGCTAATTTCATGATCCTTCCCATTTCCTTTTACGTAGCACCAGTTGCGCCCTTCCTAGTCGCTTTGCTTTGGAAAAATTTTCTGCTTAAATGCAGAAGATGATTGAAAGAACGAGAGAGGCGTTAGTCAATGGTTAAGCAATTATGCGCCAATCAATTCAAAGCTTCAAATCCATCCCCCGGGCAACCCACTGGCATGGGGTGTCGAAGCTTCGAATTGATCGACGCACTACTGCTGCATGTTTCAGGTTTGCGATGAACCGCATCCTCTGTTGATTCGAGAGATGATCAAGTCATGTTCAACAGGGGACATTGACGAAGCTTACAAGGTTCTCTCACATTTGTGGTACATGGGGTATGCTCCAGAGGACATCATAACCAACATCTTCCGAGTGTGCAAGAACTATCAGATGTCAGAATACCTCAAACTGGAGTTTATTAAGGTAAGACGAACTGTTAAGCTGTGCAAGCATTAGGGAAAGTCGCAGCGAGAGCATGTCACATAGACAGGGTTCCTGCGGGTCCTGGAAAGTCCTGGAATTTTATTTTGACATTTTCCAGGACTGGAAAGCCCTGGAAAAAGACTACAGGGTCTGGATAGTCCTGAAAATTTGCTTAAATCAAGCAATAAAGTTTTTAGAATTTACGTTATAAGAAATCTGTGTACAGTAGACTGCATGGAGGAGAATTGATTTTGAAATCTTGGGAATGAAAGGTTTTAAGTTTTAAGTTTAAGTTTCAATCTGAGCCTGGAAAGGTCCTGGAAAAAGTTAGTTTCTGAAAAAGGGTATGCACCCCGCACAGAAATAAAAGGGATATCCGTCCAACCGCCTTAACTCTTTGACGCCTCAGAGTGACTAACATCCAATTTCTCCTCACAATGTTACCCCTGAAACATGAGAAT